CAAAGAAACCTATAACCTTGGATAATTTTGGGCTATCTAATGCACTGTTGGTAAAGGGAACAGTGGCAACTGGGTTGAGTCATACCATTTAAACACAATACCTAATTTTAAATGTTTTGGCACCTTTTAGATAGAATGTTCCTACTTGAATGGTCAATTAATTTCCTCCATTACGTAGAAATTATGCAAGGTATTTTTACTAAATGGGGTTCTTTTGTAGGTTTCTTTTGCTGGCTGTGTATTAATTTGCTGTTCATTTTATCAGATTCCTCTGAAGTATTACACTTCAGAATTGTATTTACAAAAAGGGGAGCGAACGATTGAAGCAAGATAGACTGAATTAATAAGCATTTAAGAACTTACCAAGAGTATTAAGGAGTATCAGAGACTGTGATAACTTTTACAAAAAGTAAACAATCTCTAAAAATGGCGCCCACGAGGAAGGATGAGAAGGAAAAACAAGTTAAACCAAAACTTCTTGTCGGACCTGCTGGACCAGCGAGTCTTGCCTCTAGACAGGACACAACTGCAGAGCTACAAAGATGCTAACGGAAGCATTGCGACCCCTGCTGGAGCAAATAACAGCATTGCACGGCAGATTCGATGCACAGCAACGGCAACTGGCTGAGATAGCCAAAAAACCATACAAAACTGAAAAAGAAGTAAAAGAAGTAGATGCCAACACCAAAACACTGGGGGGGAAACTGCATGTGATCGAAAAAAAATAGTTTGATGGAAGAGTCTCAATTGTTACAGCTACAAACGGAGAGAGCAAGCTATGTCTTAAGGTTTCAAGGTATTCCTGAAGATAAGACTGACAATCTGAAACAGACCATGTGTGATGTATTAGGCCCTTTGGCAGATATAAAAGTGGACACATTACAAAGTGAAATAGATATGATCTATAGATCTTATCCAGAATTTATAAGAAAAAATAATCTGCAGGGGGAAGTGATTGTGAGATTCTCAAGAAGACAAGTGAGAGACCAAATTCTCAAAGCGACAAGTAGATCTACCTTGAAAATCAAAGACAAAGAAATAAAAGTGTTAAAGGACATACCATTTGAAATAAGGAGGAGGAAGACGAAATATAGAGATCTAGTACTATTCCTACAAAAGAAAAGCATACCCTACAGATGGATGACACCTGAAGGCACAATCTTCAAATTTATGGATAAGGGGGAAAAATTGACTCTGTTGAAAAAGCACAAGAATTTTTGCATCTACACAGTCATCCACCAGGGGAGAAAGAACCCAAGAAAGAAGACAGCACCAATGAAAGTGAAGAAAAAGGAGCAGCGACAGAATCAGACGAGGATCCGGACTCCAAATTAAGGGCAGTTGCCCCGAAGACAAGCTATCATTTGAGAAAACATAAGGATAAGAAAAAATGAGATGTTATTACACTTTGAAAACTCTATATATTTTAGTAATTAATTCTTACAATGCTTTTTAAAATAGGTCAAAACTAGAGGTGATTTAAGTAATTATATAAGCTAAAAATAATTGATAGATGACCACAGTCAATGTATTGTTATAAAACAAGGAGCTTAAAGTTATTTTTGATAAGTTGTATGTATGACCACCATCTCTTGGGTTTTTAGTGGGTTTTCTTTACTTTATCCCTTAGTAAGTAGTTACCCTTCCCCTATTTTCGTTTTAGATTATTAGTATGTAGTTTTTAGAAATGCAAATTAAAAAATCCCCTATGGGGGGCTCAAAAATTGTATTTACAGTATTCTTTTTTACAGCTATATGATTTTATGGGGGTGGTTCCATAGTACACATTAACATCTTTGTCTCTTGTCATGTTCAAGCAGCCCCTGGTGACTGCCTTATGGCAGCTGGGTTCTTGAATACAATACGGGGTCAACATAACATGACAGTTATTCATTTTGACAGTGTCAACCAACCAGATGAAAAGTAGGTTACTGGGGCTTATTGCAGAGCCTCATCCTTCACACATGAGTCCAGGAGAAAAAGAAGCCTCTTTGGGGATAGTGTAAGATAAACAATTTATAATGACATGTTTTATTGCACATTTCTGCTTTTAAAAGTGCAATCCTATGCAGAGTTACTCTAGCCTAAACCAATTGAAATGAATGTGCTTAGACTGGAGTAACTCTCCTTAGGATTGCACTGTAAATGGTTCAGCTTTTTTTTTTAAAGCTGATTTGGTAGAAGCATAGTATACACATTTTCCTTGATGTTACTGTACTTTAGGACTATATACACTTGAAAGCACACATGCATACGAACAGAATTTTCTTAACATCACTATCAAAATCATGGGTTCTAAAACACCATCTCCCCCAAATGTTTCATTATTTGGTTGTCCTATTATCTTAGCTTTCCTGGTATTTCTGCTATAAGTGTTTCAGTGCCTTAAGTTTCAGGATCTTAATAGGATTCTTCAAGCTTGTATAACTAGAACTACTGATTTTTAATGGCTCCATATTAAGATCACTACTTAAAATATGGGAGATCTTCATGTGTTATAAATAGGGTTTGGGAACGACAATTAATTCCTGTGTTTCACAAAATGAAAAGCATCCATGGTTAAACCCTTTTTTTGGTATTTTTTAATTCCTGTCTGTCTGCACCTGGAAATCACATTGACCGCTGGTGACTGACCCCTACTGGGGGCCTGGAGAATATTCAGAGAGGTCGCTGAATAAAGCCTGCCTCTGTCCTCCTGACTTGGTATTCCAAGGAACTCTCCCATCGTAGTACTAACCACAGTCAACCTTGCTTGGCTTCTTCTTTTTTTTAATAAAAATCTGCCCTCAAAGGGTAGAATGTTATTTGCTTTTTCATAGCAGACAAACCAAACATACACACATAACACAAAAGGGGGTATCAAATGCTTAAGTTTCCAATAATTGCCTCTTAGATATTCTCTATCTAATACAATATCACGTATCATTATTTTCTATGAGCTCGCATTTTTGTATCTTAAAACCAACATCTGTACCTGCTATCTCAATGTTCTAACCTATACTTTGCTCTAGGGATTACATTTTTAGGTTACAATCATTTGCACTATTATACCAATTATAGAAGCACCTCCATGTGTTCTGGAATGTATAGTTTGTGGATCCTCTTATCAACAAAGTCAGTTTTTTGGTACATCTTGTGCCTTCCAGTATTTGGCATATAGCATTCTTGCCGCTGTAATAAAGTAGATAATTAAATATCTGTTGGTTTTTTCAAAGTCTTTAGGTAGTATACTCAGTAGCATTACTTCTGAGCTCTGACGAGATTGGGCTTGCCTGGGTTATCCAGGTCAGGGCTATGGTTAAACCCTTTAAAGCCATTGTTTTCAATGAGTGGAAGAGATTTGTGAGTATCTTTTAATGTTCCATTCAAATCTCCAAAGGTACTTAGTTTTGATTTGATTTTAATAACATGTTGTTCTGACAGTTGGTGGATGTTGGTTCATGATTTCAAATTAACATTTAATAGGAAGTGCAGACACTTTTCCTCAAACACTACAGAGCTTTGACTGTGATGAAAATATATGCACACATCTTCTCTTCTTTGACAGTCCTATATCCTTATGTCAGCTATGCTGCCATGGGGGTTGGGGAGTTCATTCTGTGCCTTGTTCATTCTTATTGCATTCTTATCCCTGCTGCTATGCCTTTGCTGTAACACTGATCTCTACAGATGTGCAGGAGGACGTTGGGTTGTCTGGAGAGCTCCTATGTACCGTGAGAGACTCCAGATTCTCAGCTTTAGCCACCTAACGGTTGCCTGACTTATCCCGCGTGCGGGAGGGTCCCTAATTGGCCAATGCCTTGGGGGGGTGCATACGAATACCCTATATCCTATTATGCTCTAGTGGCTGCGGCCATTCCTAACAGTGCCTATGTTACTGCATCTATAGCTTTGCAATAAAAGTATAACCGTTCCTGAATGCGTGTACTTCGTTGTTAGCTGTGGATTCTGACACCTGACTGAGAATGAACCCACTTTGCCATGAGTAGTATTTTAGCTTTGAGTTTGGGTTGACAGGCACAGTCAGTGAATTGATAACTTCATTTTTAATTTGGGTTGTTACAGGTATTTGTGGTTTTATCTCTCACAGCATTTACAGATTAGTAGGATATACATGTATTATCCCACACACTTTCTAGGAATAGTCACCTGAAAAACAATTATAAATGAAACTGCAAAGTTTGTCTGATACAGCATTGGTACTGGCATCCATTCACTGTTGCTATCCTTTAAAAAGGATTTTTTTTCTGTGGAAAAACAAAGCTCTGGATATTTTTCTGGAAAGTGCTTCCACTTAGGAAGGATATGGACAGAATATCTATTAAGACACCCATTATTATCCTGTGTTATCAGTGTACCCTAGATACATATCTGTGTGAATTCAGCCCAAGATCATATTGGGGTAGCATCAGTGTCAGGAAGAAAACTTTCCTTCCACCACCTGTCCTAGCAGCTGCTTCCTTCAGTTTTGTGCTGACTGTGCATCCAGTTTGGACTAACACAGGACAGTTGCCTTCATGAACCCTTCCCCCCACATCAACAGCCAGCCCCTCATTTGGAAGTGTATTTGTATTATGTCCTTCCCATTAATAGAAAAGGTGGAAGTATGGTCCTCTTCCGCTAATTGTGTGATGCTATGGGAAACTTAGAACATAGATTGTGAACTGTGGAGGTGTTTGGTTAGGTAGCTGGTGTATATAACAAGTTATTTCTAGTAATGAACTGAAGCATAGCTTGCTTTGGTTAAAGTGCAGCTTCTTTCAAGTTTCAATGACCACTTTTTAAAGTGATGTGCATTTATCCAGTTGGCAATCTTTTCCATTGAATAGTTCATATTTAAATGTGAACAGGATCTGATTATTTTCTTTTGCTAGTAGTAGCCAAGATGAAAAGCATCAAGACTATCTGTGGTATTAGGTACTTCCTTTTTAGAGCGAGATTAGCAGCTTTATCATTTGTGTTTTCTGCAAGGAATTTATCATATGTATTTCTTTTTCTAGTGTTCAACGCCTACTCCTGAAGAGGAAAAACTTATTAGCATCAAGAGACCCAAAACACCAGTTTCAAATGAGTTATCTGATATCAACACTCAAACAAATTGGACCAAATCCCTCCCATTACCAACACCAGAAGAGAAAATGCGACAGCAGGCGCAAGCAGTCCAAACTGATGTTATACCTATTAATGTTACAGGTAGGCTTTTAATTTTGCTGCCATGTGATAAGGAAGAACAAAGGTTCTCAAACTGATATTTTTATTTTGTGAGAAAATTAAGACCTAATCTCAGTTGGAAGAACGGATGAAATAATTAATGATGCTTCATAGAAAGTGTTTAAATTTTTTTAAAGGGCTGGAAATGAATATTGGCAAGGGAACATTTTCAGTGTCAGGGCCTTGAAACTAAAAAATAATGGGTGATCAAACAAGGATTCATGTTGAATGCTCAACTATATGCTGAAGTGTTTTTCATTCTAAGAAATGTAGGATAGCTTCTAGAATTTTTCTTCTTAAACTTTATATATATATGAGAGAAAATGCAAAGAATATTTAAAAAGTCAACCAAACTAGCCCTTTTGTATTCTATACAATCACAACAGAAATGTGTTCGGGATGTAAAGTAGTAGAGGTATATTTTGTCTCTCTTAATATTGCTATTCTGTAGATCTCAGTTGGAAAAATTTAGAGATTGGGCTGTTTACAAAATGCTTATTTTAAGATCAGATTTTAATAATAGAAAATTACACAGCTAAGAACAGCTTGATCTTGCAAAATCCTGGGTAAGGATCACTGATAGCATGCAAAGGTAGAATTTTAGGCTTGCAAAGTCCCCCCGGGGGGCGGGGAGACCCTGGCCCAGAGGCCCGTTCCCTGCCGCCGGTGGATTGGGCCCCGGGGGGAACCCCACCCCCAAGTCACCCAGAAGTGACACGACCACGCTGGGCAAGATGCGGGGGGAGGCCACTGGGGGCGGGGGCACGGTCATCCGAGGGAAAACTCGATGTTTTCCCTCGGATGGTCGTGGCCCCGCCCCCAGCGTGCCCGGCGTTGTTGCGTCACTTCTAGGTGATGTTGTTGCGGCGCGCGCGCACTTCGCACGCATGCGTGCACTCCAGGAGCAAGCCGTGAGTCCCCCGCTGCAGCAACAGGTAGGACTTGGCAACCCTATAGAATCTGCTTCATTCTCAGTGCACTGGAGAAGAAAGTAGATTGCAGAACTGTGTTACCATTTAGTCTGTGAGAAAAAAAATTCACACTGAGACAGCTTGTCAGCTATTCTTCACTGAAATGAAGCTTCAGAAAGGAAGCCTAAACTTTTCTGCCATTATTAGTTTGCTTAAGTGGCTGACTCCCATTTAAGTGCCACAGACTTTTTATTGTGCACTAGTTTTTTTCAATTAGGTACCATACATAAACATTTTAAGGCAGTTCATTTTATTTCATGAATAATTAACCTGGGCATTGATTTCTCCTCTGTAATTACTAATTACTATTTAACCCGAATGGTGGCCTGTTTTTATTAGCAAAAAAATTCAGTATAATACTTTCAGTGTAATAAAAAACTACTGAAATGTCACAACTTATGGGAAAAATAAAATACACTAATAAGTTATACAAGCTAACTCATCAAGTTATTTTCTACCAGTTTCTACCTTGTTGGAAAAATAGGTTGCATAGATATTGAAGATGGTGTTACGGAAACAATATTATGCTAGCAGTAAGAAAGTAAAGATTTAGAGGAAATGTCAGTAGTTTAATTCCATGATCCATATGTTTAGAAAAGAGGTTTGCAGTTTAATTCTATGATCCATAGTTTCATGGATCTTTTGGAGTGGTCATTTGGGATTGGAGTCAGAGGTGATTCCCCTGTCCCCTTAAACAGCAAAGAGTCCAGACTCCAGAGCCCCTAACAAGTTATGATATCCTAGAATATGATTCTTTTTTTCAGAACTTTTCAGTACAGTGCAAAGAGGAACTAGATAAAAATACCCACTTCTCTGTGTTTTTACAGTTTAGATTTAGCACTATAGAGTGGTGGACATTCTTTTCCTCCTTTGCTGTATGATAACTGATAACATCATGTGTTAGTAGGGAGTTAGTCTCTCCTCTCCATCTGCACTACTAAAAGAAGGTTTGTGGCATCTCGTTCAAGACTGAATTATTGAGCAGATAGTTTTTGGATGGGGGCAATGGGAAGTGGCTGCCATTTTTATTTCCCATACCTTTCTCCAGACAACAGTACTGAAGCGTTCAGCTAGGGATGGGTGCAAACTGCATGTTTGCGGTTTGGTTCAGTGTGTAGTTTGTGAGCCTTTTAAAGTTTAAACCCCTGCTTTCTGCTCCCTGTGACTTTTTGCAGGGAGCAGAAAGCAGAGGTTTAAATGGCTTAAACCAAACAGCTGAGTGGTGGGGAGCTCAGCTGTTTTTTTATGAAGAGCAGAAAACAGGGATAAGCCTCTGCTTTCTGCTCTTCACAAACCACCACAAACTGCTTTAAGATTAATGGAAGTTTGTGGTGATTCTTGTAGTTCTTGTGACAAACTTTAGTTTGTCAGCCAATTTGTGCCCATCCCTATTTTCAGTAGCCCATAACTTTCCAATAAAGCACAGATAGCAAGAGTCTCTCCCACAGTTGTTGTACTTCAGAGCAAATCACAATATTTTGTTGCAGGTACTTGCTTATTTTAATGAAGTCCTGCTAAAAAATATAGATTTCTGCTAACATGTCAATCAGAATCTGATTTTTAAATAAACCTCCCCTTTTACATTTAATTACGTTAGACAGGAGATGTAAAGAGTGGTGGTGGACGGGTGATTACCTCATTTTACTTCCAGGTTACTTTTGAGTGGATTTAAATGTCAGAAAGCATGTATTTGTTTCCTTGCCTCATTTTACCCCATCATAAGCCCCATCATAGTGGGTCTGGGTTGTTCATCAAAACAAAATATTTCTGACATTTAAAATGTTTTTTAACGAAATCGGGTGTCTTTTGAAAAAAAAATTATGAAAATAGTACATGACTTTTCACTTGATAAGAGCCTTTCAGTTTCATCTTAAGTGCTCTTCAGGATATATTGTTTGGAGAAGAAACTTTAAAACAATGGGGTGCTGCATTAAGCTGACCAGCTGCTGACTGGCCATCCAGATCTCAGAAGGGTCAAACCCTGTGGACTTAGAGCATTTGAGAAATGTGAAGTATTTTTAGGGGGAGGTAAGGCTTTTTTAACATAAATCTTTGGTCAACCGAAGCAGAGCAGTTTACTCTGGAAAGGAGATGCTTGAAACTGTTAGTGTTCAGGAGACTGACAGCATATGCTTTTCAAATACCATGACCTCCTTGTTAGTTCCCAGACAGGTGGAAGCCTTGGGTCTTACCCAGATACAAAGGAAAATAACAGCAGGTGGTGAGAGTTGTGCTGAACTGAAACACAAAAGATAAAGGAATTCCTTTGCATATTATTGAAGCATGTGCTTATAAGCACTGCTGACTTCATTTGGCTACTCCTCGAACAAGATGAATTTAAGGAAGTGTATAAACAGTCAACCAAAGTGAGATGAAAGAAGGTAGATGAAAACGTGTGTGTGTTTAAATGGTTTAATTTAAACTATAAATGTTTTAACACACAGTTAAAACTTGCTGATTGTACAAAATCATGTGTCCTTAACAGCCTTAATTTATGTGATTTCAGACAACCATTTTATTAGAAACAATTGTTTATAAAGTTTTAACTTACTGAAGTGTCATATTACTACTCAATAAACACTCATTTATAACATCTTTCTACGTGAAGAAGATAACCTTTGTCACATATGAACCGAGTCAGAAATCTGGTAAAAAAGAGGAATAGGACAGTATTCACTATAGTAAATTATTACAGACAAGTCGCTGATTGGTTAAAAAAAAATGAATATCTGTATTCTCTTTCTGACTTACAAAATCTTTTGCCATAAGTTGTCATCATTTCCTTAACAGACACACATTTTGGTGCAGTATAATGAATCTTATAACTAATTCTGTGCGCACAGTATTGCTGTGTCCACCTTCTCCTCCCCCCCCCCCCCACCCCTGTCCTACAGAGACGCTCATTTGGGAACG